TGGAGAGCAGGGCCCACAGATAGGGCTGCTTATCAGTGCCCTTCCAAATTCAGGTCTCAACCAGCACTGCTTCCTTTGAGCACAGGTCTGGGTTGGTGCTGTGAGCTACTATGAAACCAGAGGTAGATCGTGTGGGTGAGAGTGTGTATGCAGAGAGTGAGCGTGAGCGGTGTATACAGGAATGCTCCTCCCATCACCCAAAGATCAGGAGTTGAACCTCTGTTGTTGGCAACCATCGCTGGGGTTGCCAACAGCGATGGTTGGGGAGAAAGCATAAAGATGTGGGCAGGGGAAAAGTCAGCAGCTGACACCTGGCCTCAGCTCACCTCTCCCCAAACCTGCCAGCTCCAGCACAAACACAGAGCTTCACCACCAGCTCAGACAGTCTGGGCGCCAGACCTGGGAAGCCATTTTATGCAACAGCCCAGCCACCAGCTCAGTCCAACATCCAAGTCAAACAGCTTTTGGAGGGGGCGACAAGTGAGGGAAGCGGGGGAGGGGCCTTTGCCACCCCCCTCATCCATGCCCTGCCCAGAACCTCACCTCCCGATGCCTTAGGTTTCTCTGCCATGCAGTTGTATTTTCAGAAATGCCCTCTCCCACCGCAGTCAGACAAGTACCAACACATGAAATGGAGTCAGTGTTTCCCTGCAGGGAAAGAGGTTGGCACTGATGCAGGAGGAGGTGGAAAAGAAGGGAGGCTGTGTGGACTGGGAGTGTGCTCCTGGCTCCATCTGTGGTTTAAACTTCCACACTTCTCAGGGAATTGCTCCCACCCTCCCCACAGCTTCAAACCTCTTTCCACTTTCTAACAATAGCTGCTGGGGTCCGGGGCTGACCTGGCATTGACTGTGCTAAGTGCATTACATACATGCCTTAAACCCTCGCTGTGATCCCCTCGGTGATGGGGACATTGAATCCAAAGCTGGAACTTTGACTATTAGACAGAATGACCACAAGTGGCTCAGGTATATGGGCAACGAAAACAGAACACCCAGAACAGAGAGACCCCACCTAGGATGAGTAAAGACCTAGTACCAGGAATACAGATGCAAGAACAAGGTTCCTCCAAGATACAGGTTAAGAGAAGCCAAATTCTGAGAAGCCTCACTATCTGCTATGTGTTTTCACATCCTGACTCCTATTTTGGGTCATGTGGGAAAATCCTATTTCTGTAGGTGGTGTGGTGAGGTTGGTTTCATAGGCTGGCTTGAGGGACCTTTTGGGACCATTTGCTCCAATGCATTGGTTTTACAGATGAGGAAACTGAGGACTGGGCAAATGGACAGAAAATAGTGGTGGTAGGGTCTGCTCTCCAGTGTAGCCAACCCATCACCTCCTCTGCTCCAAGCTTTTCCCCTTCTCTGACCATGAAGAGGACAGAAAGCCCTTAATTTGCAGGCTAGGATTTTGGGCAAAATAATGAGAAAGACGCATTCCTGGCTTGGCTTAAGCCTGGACACCCACTTCACAGCTTGAAATACTTGTGCTATTTGTCACTCTAACATAGTAAGATGTTTTCCCTCCCAACCTTTTTATTTGGGTGGGGGAGTAGAAAGGTAGGCAGGGTGGTCTGAAGGAAATGCAGATACAAACCTACAGAATTTGGCTTTGGGGATTTTTGGAAAACAGATTGCTGGTTTGACTGTGGGCATCAGATACCCCACTGTGGGAGGGCAGGCTGTGCAGGCTCAGCTATCGTGGAGTGAGTGATCTAGAAGAATACCAGTGGGGCAAGGAAGAGGCACGCCCCTCCCTACTGCCAGAGAGAAACTGAGGCTGGTTTCTCTCTGGATCCCTGTCACTCATCCCCTTTCAGTGTCCTTAGCACATGAGGTGTTGGTGGCCCTCAGCATCCCACCTCCTGATTTTCAAGGCCCACTTTGGGTTCCAAATACCAAGTTGATAAATGCTGGTCTGAAGAGAGAAACAAATGGTGACATCATAATAATCCCAGCATTTCCTAGAGATCATAGCTAGTCTTAAAAAATATTTTGGGGACATTTATCCCACTCTTCTTCCATTCTCAGTTAGAATCTGGTGTAACACATCTGGGTAAGGTAACATACGTCTGAAACTATCCTGCCACATGACCTTGGATAAGTCACTTAACCTTTCACAGAGACCAGACTGCAGATCATTAATCACTAAAATGGGGATAATGCTTCCTATTCTGGCTCTATCAGGGAACTTTGTGTGTGTGTGTGTGTGTGTGTGGTGGTGGTGGTGGTGGGGTGGCTCTGGAGACTGTATTCCATCATCTCCTGGAGGATGAAGGCTTAGTCTCTATAGGACCCCAGCGCAGGACATCTGAACAATATAACTGAGGAAAATATAGCTAACTGCTCACCTCCCTACCTGTGATAGTAACAGAAGAGGACAGAAGGAAAACAAGGGGCCTGGAGTGTGTAGTACTGGCTTAGTCTCTGTGATCCTGGGCAAATCACCCCCTTTCCCGTCTCTGCTTCCTCACTGTCAACAAGCGGACTTGAGTGCACAACCTGTAAAGTCATTCCCCAACCCTAAAACCACACACTTCCGGAGCGAGACATATCTGTTTCGAATGGCACAGCTAACCAACAGCACTTAGTCCAGACAGGGGAGCTCTAAATACAAGTCGGGTGGCAGGCTGGAGACAGTATCGACAGATTGCAGGCCAGCAGGCAACAGACTGGGTTGACATGGGGTGGCCACAGGCGCCTCCCCTCAGCCTCCTGCATATGCCACAGGGCAGATGGGGGTACGCAGGCACACTGTGGAAGTCTGTGCCCCCAGTCCCAAACCTTGATGCAGTCTAGCAGACAGCTGGAGATGATGGACAGACCAGCAGAGGAGAGACTGTACTAGGGAAAAGAGGAAAAATCCCCAAAGAGCAAGGGTGGGGTGGGGCTGGGCTCTCAGACATTCTTTTGTGGTGCCTGGAGTTGGTCAGTGGAGGAAAACAAACCTGGCAGTGGGGTGGCTGCTAGGGTTGGAGGGGGTGCCCACTATAGGCAGGGTCTCCCTGAAGCAGGTCAAAGGTTGAACAAGGCACAGGGCACTAGAGCGTGTGTGGATGCCAGAAACAGCAGGTGAGTTTCTGCAGGATGCAGAACTGCCCCCACTTCACCCCAGGAATAGGATTAATCTTAGATTTGCTCTGAGGATCCTAGGGACCCCAGTGGCCGATTGAGGGGAATAGCACATTTTGTTGTTGTTGTTAACAAGTCTCCACCAGACTTGTTAACACCAACAGCCATCTCTCTTGTGGGTGGCACAGGGGTTACTTTGACAAAACCTTTACTGCTTGCAGAGGGGCAAACACTGTCCATGATGTGTTCAGGAGATATGACCCTCAGAACCAAGACACAGAGTCCTGGTGATTCCTGATTACAATCCTCGTTGGTCCCTTAACTCCCCAAGCAAAGATTGGGAGTGGACACTTTCCTTGTCTGTCACCTCTTTCAGGCTTCACATTTGTGGAGAGGCTAATTTGCAGAGTGGAGCAGGCACTGAGCCTCCTCTCCAGGTAAACGCCCATTCTCTGTGGCTCCGCCTTGCCCTTGGGTGGGCTGGTGGGGGTAGGGGCGGCGAGGCCCAAGCCCTTCTGGGCGGGCCGTTGAGGGCACCTGATCTCTCCCGGAAATGCAGAAACGCAGGGCTCGTCCCACAAGAGGGGCCAATAGGCATCTCCCCCTCCTTTCCTTTCCCAACTCTCCCAGAGTTTTCTCCAGTGAAGATAGTTATCGCTCTTAAAAAGAATCAAGACATGCTAGTCTTTCAGGTAACTTGGAGAGCTCTGACATTCTCACCTCAGCTCAGAGTCAAAGTCTGGGAGAACTGGGGTCCCGTGAAGTCCCTCCTCGAGGATGGAGGGGGATCACGACATCGCCCCTCTCCAGGGTAGAAGAACAGCTCTTTGCTAAGCCCTCCCTGCGCCGCCGAGTCCTTTAGAACGCCCGCAACCGCCCTTCCTCGAGACCCCCGACACTAGTGGAACCCAATCGGTCACGAACTACGCTGCCCGCCAGTCTTCCTCTCCCAGGGAGTTAAGTTCCCAGTTGAGAGTGCTCCGTTTTCTCTGCCGCCTCCCCTTTTTGCACTCCGAGGGGTCCGGGGTGGTAACAGACCCAAACCCCACCCCAAACCCTCGATGAGGGAGGGGGTCTAGGTTGGTCTGCGCACCCCAGCCAACCAGGACGAGCCCCCCACGAACATGCCCAGGAGTCCCGCCCGGGTCTGGCCCGGGCCGAAGAGTCAGCTGGCAGCCGCTGTGCCCTCTCTTTTCTCGCCCAGTCTGCCCGGCGCGGGCAGTGCCAGCTACTGGAACTCCCAGCTACCAGGCACCTCCGGCCGCGGACTGTGTCAGGGGCCGGGGAACAGGTGGCCCCAGAGAGGAGCGCACTGCAGTCGCGCTCACTCACCCAGAAGATGAAGTTAAATCCAAAGAGCAGGTATTTGATGCACTTGGTACCTCCTTTAACCGGCATGGTGCAGGATGGATTGGCCTGGGTAGGACTGGTTTGGGACCGGGGCTTGCGCGCAGTTGGGACGGGAGGGATCCGGCGCTGGACAGAGGTGCTCGAAGCTGCGGGCTGGCCTCGGGCTGCACTTTTAAAAAGTGCCACTCCTTACGGCGCGCGGCCCGCTGTGGTGCGCATGTGCCGTGGAATTCCGCCCCCATCGGCCCCGCCTCCCGGCCCCACCTGCCCCGCCCACGCTCCGCGGCTGCCGGGCCCAGGTTCCAGGGACGCCGGCCTCAGCCGCCCCGGAGTGCGGAGCAAGCTCTCCCACCCGCCCCGGTGCCCTGCCCACGGAGTTGTCCAGACTCTCCTTCCCGCCGTCTTCCTCCTTCCTGCCCCATACCTTACAACCGTTCTGGGGTCTTTCCAGGACGCTATCTCCCCCCTTCCCCGCCACTTTTATCATGGAGTTATATGGAGGCCTCGCCCTTCCGGTTCTCATAGTCGATTCTTGGCTTTTGGCCCAAGTCCTTCATTGGTAGATCCTTCCCGGGTCATCTAGGATAAAGGACCCTTACTAGGGCGGGCTGCAAGAATGCGGTTCCTGCTTTGACCTTGGTCTGAAGGGAAACTGCCTGGATTGATTTCTGGTTTGAGCATCTCCTTGCAGACCTTTACTCATTGAACGTATTCTTATTTGCCTCATTGTCATGTGGAGTAGGAGGAATTAGAAGCCCGCAGTCCAGGTAGGAAGACATTAGAGGCTTTTAGAAGTCATTATCAAATACCGATCACCGAATAGTAATACGGCCGAACTTCTGCTCTCTACTCCTCCACCCCACCCTCCCTGTAGCATCTTGTCTCCTAACTGCTCACTGCTGCCTCTGGAATGCCCCAGGTTCTGAGCTCTGAGCGTTTTTCCTCTGCTCAAAAACTTTCTGTAGCTCCCTACCTTCAGTGACCTAAGTCAAAAATTCCCATCTCATTCATGTCCTAGTACAGGATATTCGTGAGACTTTGTGCTACACCTGGCGCCCCACCCCTACTCTGCTTCACCTGGCTAGTGCTGCAGGTGTTGTATGCCCCTGGCTGGCTGACTGGCCCTGCCCCCTTCACTTGTAAAAATCCTATGACCCTTTCTTTACTTCTTTCCTGATTCTCATGATTGGGTGAGGAGATTCATCTTAATTCCTTTGATTGTTTTTCAAAATGAAGTTTCCTTTAGTGTTCTTTATTATTACAAAAGTGAAACATGCTCTTTAGAGAAACATCAGAAAATACCAAGAAGCAAAAAGACCATAACTCAAAATGTTGCTCAGCAGAAACAGCCACAGTTAGCATATCATAGTTCTTGCTTTGCTCTATTTATTATCATTAGACATGTCTCATTGTTTTTTTTTTTTTTTTTTTTTTTAATGCTGGAGATGGAACTCAGGGCCTCCCAAATGAAGAGCTCTACCACTGAGGTACTACTTCCTGTCTCATTGATTGATTGATTCATTCAAAAACATGTTTCCAAATCTACTTTATGTATTTCATTAGGAGGAGGAGCTGAAAAAAAATGGACTAAATCCTGTTTCTGTTCTGTAGGAGCTTGTCTGGTGTGGGAGAGAGACAGATAGACAGAAAAGGGAATGAGTGTGATATTTGGGATTGTGCAGATAGACTTGGGATCTAAGGCATCCAGAGGAGGGGACCCTGACCTGGTTGGGATGACTCAACTATCTCACAGAAATTTGCCATCAGGGAGAATCCAGGGTAAAGGCTGGGGCTGGAGCTCACAGTTGGTTGGAATAGGTGTTGGGGAGGTGAGGAAGAGCCCCCTGATTCCAGACTTTGCACTTGGGATGTTAAGGGGCCACTGAAAGATTCAAACAGGATGTGGGTAGGACAGGAGACTAGGCAGTGAGCTATATGAGGATAAGGACCATTGTTTGTATCTCCAGTCCTTGGTTCAGAGTTGGACAGAAAATTGAGATGTTGTATTTGCAGAGGTGCAGTTGGGTAATGTGAGGGGGGCACAGGGAGATGAAAGATGAACTGAGAATTGGGTAGAGATCTGTTAGGAGGGTGTTGAATAGTTCAGGTGAAAGAGAGTGAGAGTTGAAGGAAGGTGGGGAAACGGGATGGAAAAATCTGACAGGGTGGAAGCAGGAGGGAAGAAATCAGAGCAGCAGAAGTCAGATTGTGGAGGGTTTCATTCACTTGTTCGTCCTGCATTTCTTTTCTTTTTCTTTCTTACTTTTTTTTTTTTTGGTACTGGGGATTGAACCCAGGGCTGCTGTACCACTAGCTACAACTTCAGTCCTTTTTATTTTTATTTTGTAACCTGGAGCCTGGCCTCAAACTTGCAATCCTTCTGTCTCAGCTTTCTGAGTAGCTGGAATTACAGGTGTGCACCACATCACTGGCACTAACAACACTTTTTGAGAGCTTTCCATATGTCATGTGTAGTGGCAAATGCTAAGGGTAATGAGATGAAACTATTGAGGGATAGTTAGCATAGAATAGAGAGACTTCTTAACAGATAGGCAGGTTCAAGCTCATGAAAAAGAGAGATGGAACCTAGGATCCAGCAGGAGTGCAGGGCACATCCTCAAATCAGCCTGAGGTTTCCCAGAGCAGGGCACACCCCAGTAGCTGACTTTTGAAGGCAGGGAGGTTTAGGGAAGTTAGACAGGTGGAGAGGGAATTCCAGGCACTGGGAACTGTATGTGCAAAGGCACAGAAGCATGAAACCACAGGCAGCTGGCTCCTCTGGGGAAACTACTAACTGTGGGTGAGCTGGTGGGAAGAAGGAGGATGAGGAAGGAAATGCAGAGCCTAACTCAGCCTAATGCCGAGAAAAGCCAACAGAGGAACATCAGTAATGCTTTACTTGGGTTACTCAGCCGAATCCAGTGTCCACTGAGGATGGTTCTACTGCAGTACCACAGTGCATCAAGCACTGGGCGGGGTGGGGGGACAGGTAGGGGAAGAAAACAATGTCCCATTATGCTGCTCTGGCCAGAGTCCACTTTTCTTAGAACAGGTCTAATAATTTTTTTTTAAAATCTTTTTGTATCCCAATCCTCCTTTTGTATTAAGCACTGTTGGGGCTTTGGTAAATATTCAGTTAATAATAGAAACAATTTCTTAGGGTTACTGAGTACCAAAGAAAATAGTTCACACACTTAGGCCTGGACACTCAAGAAATGTTGCTTATTGTTGCTATTATTATTTACACTCAAGGAGCAATGAGAGGCAGCCCACAGTGCATTACGTGTAATCAAGTGTCCTTGTCATGTGACACATGTAATCAAGTGTCCTTGTCATGTGATAAGGGCATTGGACCTAGAGTGAGGAGGCTTGAGTTCTAGTCTAGGTTCCAACTCCATGGTTTATTTTGGAATGATCAATGACTGACTCTGGGCCTCAGTGGTCTCATCCATACAATGAACCTTTTGGATTGGGAGATGTGGAGGTCTGCCTTCATTTTGGCATTATATGGTGCCTAAGTCTCTGGGCCAAAGTGCTGCAGGCAGTGCTGCAGACAACCAGGGAAGGAGAGATGGAAAAAAAAAATATGGTTTGATTTAAGTGGAAGAGGAAAATCTGGGTAAGCCCTTGAGTCAGAGATCAGGAGGCAGCCAGGCTTTTCAGGCTTTGTAGAGCTGGAGTGGGAAAACTTCCTTCCCAGGGGCATCCTGTTTATGGAACACCCCCACCACCCCGCCCTTTGGGGTCCACTTTGGCTCTTGTGCTCCTCCTGGTGGTAAGATTTGAAGATGCAGGAAACAGGCAGTCTAGTGATCAGTGACACCCACAGAAGGGGACTACTTATCCCTCTACCTAAGGTCAGTAGCTTTATAAGGCAACAGGCAGGATGCCTAGTCTTAGGGACTACCAAGACCCTCCCAGAAACCATACCAGTGGCTGTTTTGGTTCATCTTCACTTCTAGAAGCTTCTTTGCTGCTCTTCTTAGTAAGCTCCAATGCCACTGTCACTGGAGGGAGGGGCAGTCTGCGGAATCCCTCCAAAAGGGCAGTGGGGACTTCAACTAGGCCTGGGAGGATTCTTTTTTAACATTTATTTTTTTTTTAGTTTTCAGCAGACACAGCATGTTTATTTGTATGTGGTGCTGAGGATCGAACCCAGGCCGCACGCATGCCAGGCGAGCGCGCTACCGCTTGAGCCACATCCCAAGCCTTACCTGGGAGGATTCTTGACTTATGACCCTGAAAAGAATTTCAGGACATGTAGAAAGCAAGACACAAGCAACAGATTTACTAAAGCACAGCAAAGCAAATGTACACCCAAAAGGCGGGGTGTACACACCCCACATCTCTCAGAGAAGAGGAATGACACACCAAGAGTTGAGCTCTCTGACTTTGTATATAATTTTGCTGGGAAGAATAATACAGCTTCCCAGACAAGCTTTTGTGAAAATCAAATTCTATGTTAATCATTTGATATTCGGGGTTCAGAATGCTTCTTCCTGGTTGAACAGTCTAGTTATATACCAGTTGTGGGCACAATGTGGAAGTCTTTGAATTTGGTGACATTTAAATTTATTATGTTTCTGTTCTAGTGGATCTAGTACAAGTATCTGATCTGGTTTTGTTCATCTAGCTAAAGAGACAAGCATGGCTGGTCATGCTCATAGATCCCGGTCTCCATCCAGCAAGTATCTCTTTTTCTCTCTCCCAGTGAGCCTTCTTGTTTCTCTATCACCTCACAAAGCCCTCCACCATCACTCCTGTCTTTTCCTCCATGAATTACCTTGTTTGACTCTCTCCTGTGTGACTCATTGGCTGTCTTCATCTTCTAGTATGTGTGCACATTTTGGTGGTGAGCTCCTCCAAAGTATACTTGCTTTGATGAATTTGTGTTCTCTCAAGCTCCTGGTCCTTTGCTGGCCCAGTGAGCCCTCTGTATACATTTGTGGAATGACTGCAAGGGAGAACATGTTCCTCAGGCTTTTGTCCTTGGACCTCTGCTTTTCTCTTAGCTCCTCCATTGAGCACCTATCTTCTCGTATCATTTCCTTTGTTTGGCTCACCTCTGCATAAATTCAAGTCACGATACTCATTCAATAGCTCTTCAAATATGCCCCATCCTAGTGTCTGACACCCAGGAATGCGCCACTTTATTTACATGGTATAAGGGACTTTGCAGATGTGATTAAGTGAAAGGATTTTAAAATGGGGAGTTTATCTTGGACTTTCTTGGTGAGTCCAGGATAATTAAAAAGGTTCCATAGGAGAAAGGTAGGAAGATCTGAACTTGAGAATGAGGTATGAGGACAGAAGCAGAGGTTGGAATGATGCATGGCCACATGCCAAGGACCATGGACAGCCTCTGGAAGCAGGAACAGATGAAGAAATGAGTTCTCTCTAGAGCTGCCAGGAGGAGCAAATGCAGCTCTGCTAACTTATTTTAGGTTTCTGACTGGAACTGTAAAATAATTAAATATGTATTATTTTAAGCCACTAATTTTTTTGATAATTTGTTACAGAAGCAGTAGGAAATGAACACAGTTAAAATAAACATCAGGACCAGAGGTCCTAATCCCCGAGGGCTTCCTAAACCTAAAACTGACTTTCCTCTCTCTTTGGCCTCCTGTCCTCCCATCAGTCAGCATCCAAACCCCACATCACCTGGGCCTCTTCCTCCTCCTTCCCCTAGCCTTGCACTGCTGAGCAAATGTGATTCTTCTTTCCTAGTACTTCTCATGGTGTTGCAAGGAAGTGCTGCAGTTGCTGT